TTGGTCGTTAAGGGAGGGAAACGCAGTCATTATCGACGGCCATTTGGGACGCTTATGCCCGGACTTCGTTTTAATTTTTTTCCCCCCGTAATACACGCTTCGACAGAAAACGAGCGGGTGGTGTCTAATTTCAAGCTCTTGACGACAATACGGAGAGACAGTGGGTTCCCTGAAGCGGGTGATCTGTCTATTTACGAGTGGTGTGAAAGCTATCATACCGTCCCATGTGGGCGATCTGTCTAATTCCTGCGCATGGCGTGCTTCATGTAGCCGTCTATACCTGTCATTAGGTCACGGTCAGTGGTCTTGCTAGCCCCCGCTAGAACAGACAGTTAACTCTGTCTCTGCAGACTGTTATCTATAACCCTGTCGCAGAAGAGATATAGATATATCCTGTCGCTGTAGACAGTTATACCCTGTCGTAGAAGATAGCTACACCCTGACACAGTAGACGACCTATCTTGAGGTTATCTTGAGATGATTTCGGGGCTTTAGTGTTCCCGCGGCCCGGTCCTCAACCAGGCCTCCATCCCCCCAGGAAGCAGCCCGTAGCAGCTGTCTAACTCCCAGGTACCTATTTACTACTAGGTAACAGGGGGCAACAGGGATGAAAAAAAACATTTTGCCCATTTGTCTCCGCCTCCACTGGGGGATCGAACCCGGAACCTCAGGACTATGAATCCGAAGCGCTGTCCACCCAGCTGTCAGGTGCCTGACTATACCCATGCCACGCAGACGACCTGGCTATCAGCGACACACAGACATATAGGAACACAGACATAGCCATAGAGACACAGATAGGCGGGGCAGATCTAAAAACAGACATAGCTAAGATTCCCGAGTCGACCCAAATTCCGCCGGATATCTCACCTAGAATATCTATATCTATATATTAGAAATAAATGGAGATTATTGTCTTTTGTCCGAATAAAATTGGAGAGTATATAGACGCTTGCACCAAGCTTCACCCAACTTTTCAAGATGACACATTGGTATCATGCGACTGTCATAGGCTTTTCGTGCTCGACTTTATTGTATCCCGTTAAGAAAAATCGGCTCTTACGGCGATTTTGATGTGTCTGAAATCAGGAGATGTTTTCCGTTGTTTCTGAGCAATTTTCAATTGTTTGGTAATATTATTTATTTATTTATTTATATATTTATGTGTTTATTATAATTATTTTGAGAGAGACAGAGAGAGAGTGCTGGAGAGAGACTGAAAAGAGAGAGAGTAAACGAAAAGATAACTGAAAAATAGACATACAGATAGATAAATAGGGACAGAGATTAAGAGACGAACCTACGGATTCTAATACGAATCGATACGAACCTAAGATTCTCAAGGGAATTGATAGGGTAGATAAAGACAGTCTATTTAACACAAGGGGAACACGCACTAGGGAACACAGGTGGAAACTGAGTGCCCAAATGAGCCACAGAGATATCAGAAAGAACTGTTTTAGTGTCAGAGTGGTTGACAAATGGAATGCATTTGGAGTGATGTGCTGGAGGCTGATTCCATACACAGTTTCAAATGTAGATATGATAGAGTCCAATAGGCTCAGGAACCTGTACACCTGTTGATTGACGGTTGAGAGGCGGGACCAAAGAGCCAGAGCTCAACCCCCGCAAGTGCATTATGAGGATATCATCATCAACACAAGAGTGAATAAGGCAACAGTGATACTAAAAGTCCCCATCTACTTTTTGTTTTTTGTGTTTTTTATTAATACATTAGGTACATCTGCATTTGTGCAGCTGCCCTAGACTATTGGAAGGCGCAGTACAGTGTGTCAAAAAGCTAGCTATACGTGGTACTAAAAACTTTTTTTTTTTTTATTAATACATGAGGTACATCTGCATTAGTGCAGCTACCCTAGACTATATGAAGTGGAGTACAGTGTGTCAAAAAAGCTAACTACGTGATGCTAAAAAAATCCCCATCACACAGGATGGTTAGTCATACAGAGGCATGTGATGGGCAGTCTGCACTGGCAGACTCCGGATGCATTTTGAGGATATCAACACCTCCTATATCATGAAACTCTACGGATTAAACAAATACACTTTTGCGAGCTTTCAAGACTTCCCGGTTTGGTGCCTTCTTTTGATAATGACTTACCTCGTTTGACCACCAGCCGTCAGTTTTCTTCTAGAACTGAAGACAAATTATACGGAGCTGCTGTTTTCTGCAAGAGTCAAACAAATCAACAAAGAAACGGGTGTTCTCTTTCGTGCTAATCCTTTGGTTGAAAGAAAAAACACCATTGAATATTTCGAAAGTAAAACAAAATAGCCATGCAAAGGGATGGATCTGTTTGTTAATATAAGACGAAGTGAACACGGCAGAGGAACAAATGTGTAGCTTGTGTTCATTCACTTGGAGGAACACACATTGTGTTCACCTCGTGTTTTAATACTTCTGTTTTCTTTTGTTTTTGAATTTTAATGTGGCTGTTATATGTTGTTTTTAGGTCTGAGTTAATGTTTGTTGTTACAGGTGCTGTTATACCTGTTACAGGTGCTGTTATATCTGTTACAGGTGCTGTTATACCTGTTACAGGTGCTGTTATACCTGTTACAGGTGCAGTTATACTTGTTACAGGTGCTGTTATATCTGTTACAGGTGCAGTTATACCTGTTACAGGTGCTGTTATATCTGTTATAGGTGCTGTTATACCTGTTATAGGTGCTGTTATACCTGTTATAGGTGCTGTTATACCTGTTACAGGTGCTGTTATATCTGTTACAGGTGCTGTTATACCTGTTACAGGTGCTGTTATACCTGTTACAGGTGCTGTTATACCTGTTACAGGTGCTGTTATACCTGTTACAGGTGCTGTTATACCTGTTACAGGTGCTGTTATACCTGTTACAGGTGCAGTTTATACTGTTACAGGTGCTGTTATACCTGTTACAGGTGCTGTTATACCTGTTATACAGGTGCTGTTATACCTGTTACAGGTGCTGTTATACTGTTACAGGTGCTGTTATATCTGTTATAGGTGCTGTTATACCTGTTATAGGTGCTGTTATACCTGTTATAGGTGCTGTTATATCTGTTACAGGTGCTGTTATACTTGTTACAGGTGCTGTTATATCTGTTACAGGTGCAGTTATACTTGTTACAGGTGCTGTTATATCTGTTATAGGTGCTGTTATACCTGTTATAGGTGCTGTTATACCTGTTATAGGTGCTATTACTAATGTTTGATATTATTGTGTCTTAGTATGCCTCTTGTTATACCTGTTATTTTCTCTGTTATTATGCCTGTTTACGTGTCTGTTATTATGCCTGTTTTCATTCTTGTTGTCATACCCGTTACCACGTCTGTTGCCATACCCGTTGCCACGCCTGTTGCCATACCCGTGGAGGAAAGTCGACATGGTAGGCTAGGAGGAAAGTCGACATGGCAGGCTAGGAGGAAAGTCGACATGGCAGGCTAGGAGGAAAGTCGACATGGCAGGCTAGGAGAAAGTCGACATGGCAGGCTAGGAGGAAAGTCGACATGTGCAGGCTAGGAGGAAAGTCGACATGGCAGGCTAGGAGGCAAGAGTCGACATGGCAGGCTAGGAGGAAAAGTCGACATGGCAGGCTAGGAGGGAAAGTCGACATGGCAGGCTAGGAGGAGGAAAGTCGACATGGCAGCCAGGAGGAAAGTCGACATGGCAGGCAGGAGGAAAGTCGACATGGCAGGCTAGGAGGAAAGTCGACATGGCAGGCTAGGAGGAAAGTCGACATGGCAGGCTAGGAGGAAAGTCGACATGGCAGGCTAGGAGGAAAGTCGACATGGCAGGCTAGGAGGAAAGTCGACATGGCAGGCCAGGAGGAAAGTCGACATGGCAGGCTAGGAGGAAAATCGACGTGCTTGGTTATCGAGCCAAAGAAAAAAGCTGAGTATGATGACCTACCCCCCTTAGAATCTAGGTGTAGGTCATCATACTGAAGGTTTAGGTCATTATATGCCCTAGAGTTTGATCACCCCACTCCTTGGGTATGATGCCCTATGCCTCATGAGTTTGAGGATCAACTCGTTTCGCCTTCTCCTTGCCCCCCTTCCCCCATCCTCCTCCCCCATCCCCTCTTAATTCTTCCCTCCCCCCCTGCCCCACCCATCTTCCCCCTCCCTATCCCCTCCCCCATCCAGACTCCCCACCACTGTCATTACAGACAATACAATAATAACCGTCAACATTTACCAAATGGTAAACGTTACCATTGGGTTAATGTTTTTTGGGGGGTTCACAAAAAACTGTACCGAGACACAATACAAAAAAAGGTAGCAAAATTTTCCCTAATGGTTAAAAAACAATAGAAAAAAAGACATTTGCCTTCCTACACACGCCAGCAGTTACCTTTCCTACCCTTCCTCCTACCCTTCCTCCTCCTCCTACTCCTTCCCCTTGCCCATCTTTCCTCTCTCTTTCGGGGCACTTCAGTGTCCCTTTTCACCCTTTGCTTCACGCTTTGTATCTTGCTTAAGAGCTGTCGCTTCCATCGCCCTTCCATTGTCAATCCTACTGAGCCTGTACCTGTATCTTTACCTGTAACTGTGCAGGTAACTGTAACGGTACAGACCTGTACCCTGTACCTGCTGGGATACTGAATGTCCCAAGCTGCACGACAGTCAATACTATTGTTGTGTGGGAGATCATGACCCAGTTCTTATTTCCAGTTTATACCGAGGGCTGAGAGAACCGTGTTACTGGTAGCCACCTGCCACAGGTAACTGTAACCACCTGCCACAGGTAACGGTAACCACCTGCCACAGGTAACGGTAGCCACCTACCACAGGTAACGGTAACCACCTGCCACAAGTAACTGTAGCCACCTGCCACAGGTAACGGTAACCACCGGCCACAGGTAACGGTAGCCACCTACCACAGGTAACGGTAGCCACCTGCCACAGGTAACGGACCTAATCCTGGCAACTGTGTCGCACTGACTTGGTCGACGTTTTGTGCTCTCCATATATGTAAGTATTAAATCTTTAAAAAAGAATCCAAGCTTCTTATAGTAGTGTTTTCAAGTCTTTGAAACACAGTGATTTTTCTCAGATTGGATCAGAATGTCTAGAACACTACTGTCTTATCATTGCAAATGGGAGGAAAGCTTAGTCTTAGTCTTACGTCTGAGACATCACGAGGATTATATATCCCTTTGTTATCTTTTACCGTAGTGAGTAGGTTATTTATTATTGTTATTATGAGGTTCTTTGTCGTCGATCTTCGTCGGAAGTTTGCATCACAGATTTTGGGTCAACGAAGATCATTCCTCGTCAGGTGGGTTTTTTTTATTTGTGTGCTGGTAGCTTGTGGTAGCTTTTTATGAAGAGTTCAGCCAGTTGTTCACCCTGATACGTATTGCCTTTTTGAGGGCGTTATTGCTATCAAACATACAGGTTGGTACAATGTGGTCTGTTTACATGGTCTCACCCCAGTTACATCAAATAGTCTCACCCCCCACAGTCACACCCAACAGTCACACCCCACAGTCTCACCCCACAGTCACACCCCACAGTCACACCCCACAGTCACACCCCACAGTCACACCCCACAGTCTCACCCCACAGTCACACCCCACAGTCTCACCCCCACAGTCACACCCCACAGTCTCACCCCACAGTCTCACCCCCACAGTCACACCCCACAGTCACACCCCACAGTCTCACCCCCAGAGACAGCACTGAGCTCTCAGTGCTGACACCTCGTGAGACTTGAAGTGTTTAGATAGAGAAGGCAATTGTTTCAAATGTTCATACTTTTAAAAAGACCATCATTCTCATTACCGTTCTCGTCGATGCGTGTGTATGATACTTGTATGGTACAGTCACCTTGTATGGTACAGTCACCTTGTATGGTACAGTCACATGTGCAGTTTGTTGAGGGTGTAGAGGTTTTGACTCAACCAATTACCACACTTGGCGTGAGCCCTGTGTTCACGCCAAGGGCTGGTGTAGTATGGAGGGACAAAATAATTTAAATGGTCATCCCCACTTACGTGGAAATAAACATTCCATTGCCCCTGGGCTGTAGGTGACTCGAACCTTGGACCCCACGTGCGTGTGAGGCCGAGTCTCCTACAACCTAGGTGAATGGAACAAACTAATTTGTTTCTGATATATGATGGAGATGCCGGATCTTTCATGACTTTCATGTGGAGCTGATTTTGGTGAGTCTCTCTAGGACGGTGAACATTTGTTCTCTCTATTAACATTTGTAATGATTCTTGTTCATCCGGTGGCACAAATAAACACCCTTATGGCTTTATTATGTCTTACTTGTAATTAGTTTGAAGTAGAGGAGGCGTAGTTAATAAGAGGCAAGGCATGGTAATGAACTAGGGATCTAATTAATATTATTTGAAATAGTCTAACATATTTAACATTGATGCCAATATTTTTACCAGCAGTAAGTGATTTTCAGTAGTTTATGTCTTTCTTTTAACCAATGATGTAGTTCGTGTACAATGTCACTATTGTTTACCTACTCCAATGTTGCCCTAATTTTGTGTTTTGTTGCCCAGTTTTGTTATCAAATTACCTCGGACCACCTGCACTTATACAGTTACACTAGACTACGTCAAGGATTACATACTTTGTGGCAGGAGCTGGCTATGTGAGTCTAAAAATCCTCATAGGATGGTTGATTATTTATATTATCGGCAGGAATTTCTTTCTTTATTAACACATTTACGTACGTCTGCATTTGTAACCCGTCCTCCTAATAGAGCGTCGCATTTTGACGTATACTCTACCTAAGGCCAAAAATCACCATACTTGAAAATGAAAGCGGCTCGCGAAATTGACGTACTGTCCCGTTTTCTGTGTTGGGTCCTCTGGTAGGTTAGGATAAGGGCACTTTATTGTGACAGTTTCTTGACGTTGGGAAACCTTTAGGAGGACGGGCTGGCATTTGTGCCGCTACCCTAGGCTATATGAACGGGAGTACAGAGTGTGTCAAAAAATTAGCTACGTGATGTTCAGAATCCCCATCACAGAGGATGGTTAGTCGTACAGGGCCATTTGCTCAGAAGCTTGTACTGGCAACTTTTTGGTGCATTATGAGGATATCCTCAATAACTCGAGAGTGAATAAAGTAATTGCCAAGCTCCGGGTACCTCATGCCAACTGGTCTGAAAGGTCTAATAACTGGGCATTCAGTGATGTAGTGTGGGAGATCGTGCCGTAGTTCCTGCTCACAGAGTTTGTAACTGGAGTGCTCAGGATTGGGAGATCCGTCACCTGTAGCGTTAGTCATTTATCCTAGGTGTCATGTGTCATTTTTTTTTTTTATTAAGATATGAGGTACATCTGCATTAGTGCAGCTACCCTAGACTATATGAAGTGGAGTACAGTGTGTCAAAAAAAAAGCTAACTAGGTGATGCTATAAAATCCCCATCACACAGGATGGTTAGTCATACAGAGACATGTGATAGGCGGTCTGCACTGGCAGACTCCGGATGCATTTTCAGGATATCAACAACACAAGATTGAATAAGGTAGCAGTGGTAATACAAGTCCCCATCTCGCAGGATGGTTAGTCATACAGAGCCATGTGTTAATAGCCTGCACTGGCAAATTTTGGGTATACTGTGAGGATATCTTCAAGAATACGAGAGTGAATAAAGTAATTGCAAAGCTCCAGGTACCTCATGCCAACTGGTCTGAAAGGTCTAATAACTGGGCATTCAGTGTTGTAGTGCGGGAGATCATGCCGTAGTTCCTGCTCACAGAGTTTGCAACTGGAGTGCTCAGGATTGGGAGACCCGTCACCTGCAGCCACCTGCCACAGGTAACGGTAACCCAACCTGATCCTTGCAACCACTGTGTCGCACAGTCTAGTGGACGTTTTGTGCTGTCCATAGATGTAGGTTTCAGATCTGAACAAATCATAGCTTTTTATACTAGTACTTTCAGGTCGTTGGGAGTCAGTAAGTTCTTTCCTATCAGATCTGAATGTTTGGACCAATACAGTTTTGACAGCAGAGATGGGGATACCTAGATCTAATTCAACTTCAAACTTGTTACACGCTAATTATCCTAGGTGAATATCAGAAAATCCACGGGCATGTCACGTCATGTTCTGTATTGTACCTACTAACCCAAAGCATTTTGGAAGTTCTTCAAGGTGGACAGAAATATCCCAGCGTGTATTTCTGTAGTAAAATTTGTTAAGACATAGAGTAATATAGATAGTTATCAGAGGGGGCAAATACTAATTAAGCTTTCAGGCTTCTATCCCTACTCGACGATCACTTTATTTTCGAAACCAAAGCAAGAAATCACGCTGAAATATCAGCCTTAACACAAACCATCTGATCAAGCATCATCATCACCACCCGTAACAAAAAACATCTGATGAGGAAAATCAATGGGAGTAATGCCAAGGATTCAAACCCTCGACCTGGGTACATCCCAAACCGCGCACCTTACCTCTGGACCACGACCATGATTCTGTAGTTGCCTCCCCTTTATGGTGTTGATGCCTTCTGTTCTCATCTCTACTTCTTCTGTCTTCATCACCTCACACTTTGCGTCATCTACTAACATCACCTCACACTTTGCGTCATCTACTAACATCACCTCACACTTTGCGTCATCTACTAACATCACCTCACACTTTGCGTCATCTACTAACATCACCTCACACTTTGCGTCATCTACTAACATCACCTCACACTTTGCGTCATCTACTAACATCCCTCACACTTTGCGTCATCTACTAACATCCCTCACACTTTGCGTCATCTACTAACATCCCTCACACTTTGCGTCATCTACTAACATCACCTCACACTTTGCGTCATCTACTAACATCACCTCACACTTTGCGTCATCTACTAACATTGACAAGTACGAGCTTACTCGGGTGGGTCGTTCACGTTAATCAGGGAGAGCAGCAGCAGCAGCAGCAGTAACAGCAGCAGCAGCAGCAGCAGCAGCAGCAGCAGCAGCAGCAGTAGCAGCAGTCACAGAAGCTCTGTGGACCCCATTTATAGCATTCTTCCATCTTGAAACCTTCTTTCTGACTGTGACTCTTTGCTTTCTGTCCGGCAGGTACTCCCTTACCCAGTCAGGTGCTTTCTCAGTTATCCCAGCCTGCTTCTCCATCTTGTCCACCAGTCAGGAGAAATAGTGTGATTTTCTTTTTAATCTAGTTAAATGCAAACTATCTGCAACCTTCTTTTTTCATATCGTATTTGACTAACCGTGTGATAGGACTCAGACAAGTTTGTCAGACACGAATTTTGTTTTCTAAATCCGTGTTGGTCTTTAGGCTCACATAGTCAGCCATCTCCAGATGTTCCACCGCCTCCAGATGTTCCACCGCCTCCAGATGTTCCACCGCCTCCAGATGTTCCACCGCCTCCAGATGTTCCACCGCCTCCAGATGTTCCACCGCCTCCAGATGTTCCACCGCCTCCAGATGTTCCACCGCCTCCAGATGTTCCACCGCCTCCAGATGTTCCACCGCCTCCAGATGTTCCACCGCCTCCAGATGTTCCACCGCCTCCAGATGTTCCACCGCCTCCAGATGTTCCACCGCCTCCAGATGTTCCACCGCCTCCAGATGTTCCACCGCCTCCAGATGTTCCACCGCCTCCAGATGTTCCACCGCCTCCAGATGTTCCACCGGTCTCCTCCTGATTACTGTCTCCAGCACTTGACACGGAATACTTGTTAACGACACCGGTTTGTAGTTTAGTGCCTCCTTTCTACCTCCTCTTCTTTTGAATAATTGGACTACGTTTGTCTTTTCTTCCAGATTTCTGGAAGAGTTCATGTCTTAAGCCTTTTATTATAAATTTTAGGTAATGGGTTATATAGTACTTCTGGCAACCTTCTGCAGCAGGCATGGTGAGATTAAGTGTAGAAGTAATGATTTTGTCACATCAAGTTCTGCCTAGTGTTTACTTACGTCTTCTAGAGTAACTACAATGTCATCCATTGTTTTTTCCAGCCTTTCATCTCCCAACGTTGGTTCTCCACGCTGGTTCTACTCTTATGCAACTCATCACAACTGCGCTGCTTTTGTTTTCCCGATGGGAATTTATTTTTGTGGCTGTATTTCCATTTATGATAAAAGAAGGGTATGGTGCTATGGTCTCCATACCCTAGGGTATGGGAATGGAGAGGAGGGGGATCCAGCCATGTGGAGTTGATGATGCATGGAAATGAAGACTGGTAGAAATGGCAGAAACCCACTTCTCAAAGCAGCATATTACAGAATTAGCCGGAGTAAGAGGAGAGGACCCACCAGCAACGCTGGAAAGGGTAGTGGTAGTGGTGGTGGTAGTGGCAGTGATGGTAGTGGTAGTGGCAGTGATGGTAGTGGTAGTGGTGGTGTTAGTGGTGGTGGTGGTGGTAGTGGCAGTGATGGTGGTGGTAGTGGTGGTGGTGGTGGTGGTGGTGGTGGGAGCGTTTTGCGTGTGGCTCTGTTTACTTCTCAGGTTGGGTCCTGACGTCTTTGGTGTCAGGGAAGGTGTAAACAGATAGGAGCTGTAACGATGTAACTCAGGTCCCCTGTATGGTCTTACCCCACAGTCACACCCCACAGTCACACCCCACAGTCACACCCCACAGTCACACCCCACAGTCTCACCCCACAGTCACACCCCACAGTCTCACCCCACAGTCACACCCCCCAGTCACACCCCACAGTCACACCCCACAGTCACACCCCACAGTCACACCCCACAGTCTCACCCCACAGTCTCACCCCACAGTCACACCCCACAGTCTCACCCCACAGTCACACCCCGCAGTCTCACCCCACAGTCACACCCCGCAGTCTCACCCCACAGTCACACCCCATCCCACCGCTTCCTTACCCCATATTACACTCTTCCCCTTACCCCTACCCTCCCTCTCAACCCTTACCACTCCCTTCCAACCTCGGACAGATAGACCTTTTCATTGATATATAAAGTAAATTATGAAAATGCGCGGGTAAACGTTGGGAGTAACTTCAACATTCTACGGACATCACATCCCCGATTTCATCCCATTTTAATTTCAGAATGAAAATAGGTCGGGGGTGTTGGAATACATGGTATATTTTTTAAAGCATATAACTTAGACCTACTCCGACTAGCCTATGTCCGTCCCATACCCCAGACGATTTTCCCTTCAAATTCGGGTAAGCGTAGCCCTAATGCTCTGGCCTACAACTACAGACAGACAAGCTTCATAGTCTATGTTTCTTCCTGTAAATTAGTTAAGAAAATTAAAGAACTTTGCTACCTCTATGCTTTTGTTACTTCAAACAGAGAATCAGAAAAAAGTGCAATAATATAGTTTGATATACATTTGTCTTTCAACCTCAGCCTAATTGCTTCCCTCCCCTCGTCATTCTCTCTCTCTCTCTCTCTCTCTCTCTCTCTCTCTCTCTCTCTCTCTCTCTGGTCATTCTCCCCTGTTTCTGCTTCCTGTCTCAGCCTCTAATCTGCCAGTCCCTCCCTCCCTCCCTCCCTCTCTCTTTGACCTTCCTCCATCTTCAGTCTCCAGCACTCCCTCAACTGTCTTTCGTCCTTTCTCCTTCCTCTCGCTTCTCTTCCTCCATCTCTTTAGCCGTACCTCCCTTCCTTTCCTCTGATATTCTTATTTCCTTTGAAACTCCCTCCCCCTCTTTCTTCTTCTTTCTTCCCTCTCTCCATCCCTGTACTTCACTCCCTCCCTACCTCTCTCCATGTCTCCCTGTTGACTCCTCGCTATCTCCCTCTCTTCTTCCCTTACTCTCTCAGCCTCCCGCTCTCCCTCTTCTCTCCCTCCCTCTATCCCTTCTTCTCTCCCTCCTTCCTCCTTCTCTCCCTCCTTTTCTCCCTCTTCCCTCCCTCTCTCCCTTCTTCTCTCCCTCCTCCCTCCCTCTCTCCCTCCCTCCCTCTCTCCTCTCTCCCTCTCTCTCTCCCTCCTCCTCTCCCTCCTCCTTCCCTCTCTCCCTTCTTCTCTCCTTCCTCCCTCCCTACCTCTCTCCCTCTTTCCTCCCTCTCTCCCTTCTTCACTCCCTCCTCCTCTCCCTCCTCCCTCCTTCTCGCCCTCCTCCCTCGCTCTATCTCCCTCCTCCTTCCCTCTCTCCCTCCTTCTCTCCTCCCTCCCTCTCTCCCTCCCTCCCTCCCTCCCTCCCTTCCCCAGCAACACCTGCCAAACGATGTCTTGGTGAACGTAAAAGTTTTTAGTGCAATAACACACTGGCCAAAAAAAAATGTCTCTGCAACATGCGATCGTCTCCACGACCCGAGACGAATATATTTTCCACAAGTTACGACCTCTTCTCTCTCTCTCTCTCTCTCTCTCTCTCTCTCTCTCTCTCTCTCTCTCTCTCTCTCTCTCTCTCTCTCTCTCTCTCTCTCTCTCTCTCTCTCTTTCTCTCTCTTTTCCTTATCTCTCTTCCGTCTTTTAAATTTTCGTTGGGGTTTGTTTTTTAAATGTTTGGGATCCTTGTAATTGGAATCTATGAAGCTTGTAATTGGCTGGGTATCACTGTTTTTGTTGTTATTTTATGATACCACTTGGTTGTGAATGTGCGTGGTCGTGTACGTTGATGTGTACGCGTATAGGTGCACATGATCGCATGGATGTGTGTGTGTGTTTGTGGCTGCATGCCTGTGTGCGCGAGAATGTGCTTTTGAAAAATAGAAAGTCAAGCGAATGTTCAAACACACACACACACACGTACACACACACACACACACACACACACACACACACACACACACACACACACACACACACACACACACACACACACACACACACACACACACACCTGTGTTGACCTGTTGATTGACAGTTGAGAGGCGGGACCAAAGAGCTAGAGCTCAACCCCCGCAAGCACAACAAGGTGAGTACACACACACACACACACACACACACACACACACACACATATACATATACATACACAAAAACACAGGAATATTATATTGGAAGGTGAAGTACCACTTAGCTCTGGGCATACCACGCTATCCCCAGGTAGATGCTGGACACCTGCACATTACACCCGAGTCTCGCTACCACTTAACTCTCTCCAAACCACGCCATACTGAGGTACCTCGGCACAAATTCAGGGTATTCTTTCAACTGAGGTACCATTTTGGTACGCCGGACACCCCTCGGATGCTGGGGCCGGGTGGCTGGGACCGAGGTATCTCTCCGATACCGTAGGATTACCGTAATACTGGTCATCTCACTGAGTTATGGGCCGCCAGACCTTGAGCACGAGGAGTTGTGGGGTTGGGGGGTGACATGGGGTTTAGGTGGGGGGGTTGTGAGGAAGTGGGGTGTGTGGGGGAGTGGGTGTGGGGGACGTCTAATAGCTCATGTGATGCCCCCTCACTCTCTCACCTGACCGACGGCTCATCACCTGTCAAGTCCTGCCTGCTTCTATCCACGTCTTGACGCACCGCGCGGAACCGAGCCTGCCAGCTTGCCAGCTTCCTCTTGACGGCTGGGTGATGCATTGTCCCCCTGATGGACTTAATACTTTTAACTCACCTTCATGTCAGTTTCCGCGCGTCTCTCCCTCTCTAGGCTCTTATGGAGGTCGGGACATCATCTGTCCACCTCTAATTCATTGCTTGACACGTGGAAGAAATCTGCCTCTATCATCCGTCAACTGCTGTCAATCGCTGCGTGCTTCAGGCAACCAGATTATCGCACGACCACATATCTTTTACCTTCATCCGTCGACTGACAGGTTGAAGTGTCTATCGTCCATCAACGGTTCCCTTTCACCCGTTTCTAGCACAACACCTGGTGTTGCGGACGACCCCCGTCACCTGTGTTTCTGTTTGCTGTAACAGACTGTATGTGAGTGTGTGTCTGTATTCTCCTAGTACTGCTTACGTGGGGGTTGAGCTTCGACTCTTTAGTCCCGCCTCTCAACTGTCAATCAACTGGTGTACAGGTTCCTGAGCCTACTGGACTCAATAGCGTATTGGACTCAACAGTGTGTGTGTGTGGTGGGGGGGGGGGAGTGTGCGTGTACTCACCTAGTTGTGTTTGCGGGGGTTGAGCTCTGGCTCTTTGGTCCCGCCTCTCAACCGTCAATCAACAGGTGTACAGATTCCTGAGCCTATCGGGCTCTGTCATATCTACACTTGAAACTGTGTATGGAGTGAGCCTCCACCACATCACCCCCTAATGCATTCCATTTGTCAACCACTCTGACACTAAAAAAGTTCTTTCTAATATCTCTGTGGCTCATTTGGGCACTCAGTTTCCACCTGTGTCCCCTTGTGCGTGTTCCCCTTGTGTTAAATAGACTGTCTTTGTCTACCCTATCAATCCCCTTCAGAATCTTGAATGTGGTGATCATGTCCCCCCTAACTCTTCTGTCTTCCAGCGAAGTGAGGTTTAATTCCCGTAGTCTCTCCTCGTAGCTCATACCTCTCAGCTCGGGTACTAGTCTGGTGGCAAACCTTTGAACCTTTTCCAGTTTAGTCTTATCCTTGACTAGATATGGACTCCATGCTGGGGCTGCATACTCCAGGATTGGCCTGACATATGTGGTATACAAAGTTCTGAATGATTCTTTACACAAGTTTCTGAATGCCGTTCGTATGTTGGCCAGCCTGGCATATGCCGCTGATGTTATCCGCTTGATATGTGCTGCAGGAGACAGGTCTGGCGTGATATCAACCCCCAAG